GGGGGAGGGGAGAAAAATATAGGGAGGAAGTGTGAGGGGGTGCAGCGGAAGAGGAGGGAATGAATGGAGCTTAAAAATAGATGAATGGCGTTTTTCAAAAAAAAAATTTAAGTTATCATTTTTTCTAAAGTACTCAGACTTATTCTGTCATAAAACTGTTCTGTCCTTTGCTGTCGAAATAACGCTATTGTGCATCATCATCATAATAATAATAATACGTGTGTTTGATAAATGTTTCTCACCTATATGTGGACAACGACTCACTCAGCGTGTGTATCATTTCCCTGAATGCTGACGGCGGACTCTACTCACAGAACTGTACCCGTGGCAGGCAAGGGGGGCGGCAGTGACACGTTCATGACGTGGTTCACCCTGCAGGGGGCGGGCGGGCGGGCTGTGTGAGTGAGCAACAAAAGCTGCCACTGTACACACAGACACAGACACACACGACATGACGAGGTCCAGACTTGACGCTGCTCCTATCACAGGAATTATATCTCACTGCCCTATATTATAATGGATTTTCACTGCCTGCCACTGGAGTTATTTTGCCTGCCACGGATCGTCGATTCAATACTCACAAGAATTTCACTTCCGGAAGCTGTGGTTCCGGTCCTGAGTGTGTGACCGCAGCCCGGCACAATTAATTAAAGCTGAAAGGGGTAGGAGGAAGAATTCTGCAACGTATCCTTGTCCATGTTGATCGGGTCATCAATGGTGACGATGAGGGGATTCCCACGTGTGGTGGGGACTGTTGAGACCCCACATCCCCGACACGGGGGAAGGATGTCAGGTTCAGACCTTGTTTCCATTTTGTAGGATGAGGTTCAGACCTCGTGTGCCCCCGTGTGCAGGGGATTCGAGGTTCAAGTCATCACTCTTCACTTTGTTGAGAGAGTGAGAGAACAATCACTCTTCACTTTGTTGAGAAAGTGGGAGAACAATCACTCTTCACTTTATTGAGGGAGTGAGAGAGTGAGAGAAGAAAGCGAGCGAGGCTCACAGCTTGCAACCCTGTGTACGATGAGGACTGTAATGACTCCTCAGTGTGAGAGAACAGCAACAGGTCGCTCAGACGATGGTCTCGCTGTCCGACTTGCCACGTTTGGATTTCTCACTGCGGATAGCCCTGGAGGAGGACGAGGTTCCTGTGATGGCCTTGACCGGAACCTGCTGGTACTGGTGCACGTGCACGGTGTATTCGATGCCCTTCCTGTCCCGGCGAGGTCCGAAGAAACGGTTGATGTGTGTTCTCCAGGAGCCCAGGGTCTTGGTGGAGCAGACCCAGATACCCGAGGTGATGCCCACTACCAGAGTCATGAACACTTTGAGCATGAACACGCCAATGACGGGCGAGGAGGAGGAGGAGGAAGAGGAGGAGGGGGAGGAGGAAGAAGAGGAGGTGGAGGAGGTGCCTCCCAAGTACCAGCCGTCTCTGGAGGCGTACTCGTAGAGCAGGCAGCTGATCACACAGACGGCCGGCACGGTGTAGAAGACAGAAAAGATCCCGATCCTCACCATGAGTACGTGCAGCTTGTCCTCCCGGGCGGCCGCCGCTGTGCTGCTGCTGGTGACGCCACTACTTCCGCTACTGCTGGGGGCCTTGTCCGCCTGGGCCGTGCGTCGAGCCTTGACGAGGGACACGGAGCCGGCGATCAGGAAAGACGAGCCGAGGACGAGGTAGGCGATGAGGGGGACGATAGCAAAGCCCATTAAGGTGGAGGTGTTCTGGTTGCCCACGTAACAGATTCCGGTCAGCTCGTCGGCGTCCACGTCACGCATGACCAGGATGACGATGGTCTTCACGGCCGGGATGGCCCAGGCGGCCAGGTGGAAGTAGCTGCTGTGGACCTGGATCGCCTCGTGACCCCATTTGAGACCGGCCGCCAGGAACCAGGTGAAGGTGAGAACCACCCACCACAGGGCGCTGGCCGTGCCGAAGAAGTAGAGAAGGAGGAACACGATGGCGCAGTCAGTGTTCTCCAGACCCTCTTGGATGAGGATGTTGAGTCCGCTCTGGCTCTCGTGGTCGCAGGCGATGTCGTCCCGTCCGGCGATGAGCCTGACGATGTAGGCGATACTGTAGATATTGTAGCACATCGCCATCAGGATTATGGGTCGTTCCGGGTAGCGGAAGCGCTGTGAGTCGATGAGGAAGGTGAGGATGGTGAAGAGGGTGGAGACAAAGCACAGGCCGGCCCAGACCGCCATCCAGACGTTGGCGAAGTACTTGTTGTCCTCCGTGAACGCGTCGTCTTGGTCGCACAGCATGGCGCACCGCTCCGTGCGGTTGATGAACGTGTACTTCATCGGGTGGCGATACCCGAGCTGGACGCATGGGAGGAAGTTCTGTTTGGGAACGTTACTCGGGGGTTTCACCCCGCTGCCTCTGTAGCCGGGCAGATCTCCCGGGCGGTTGACCACACGATGACCACCAGAGCCTACTCTTGGGGGGAGCTGTCTGCTGTTGGCGTCTGTGGTGTGCTCGGGCCGGCTCGGACGCCGGATGGGCGGTACCGTGTGCCGGTCGTCCTCGTCGTCATCCGGTCCTTCCATACACATGTGCATGTGGTTGTTCTCTGAAGGGAATTTCGTACAGTTGAGGTCCGCCGGCCACGGATATCCGAACTCGTGCAGAACCGGTTTGCAGCGGTCTCGGACACTCTCGCACAAGGGTCTGCACGGTCCGATGGGGGTCATGACCTTCTCGGTACACATGGGTACGTAGACGGAGCAGAGGAAGAACTTCAGGCGGCTCGAGCAGCCATATTGGATGAGGGGAGTGTACGTCTGAAGCTTGAGGACAGCGTCCGCCTGGTCCAAATGGTTGACCAGATTGGGCATGCCCGTGACGTTGTAGCCGAGGTCCTTACACATGTTGAAACTGATTGGTTCGCACGTTCTCACCGACTCGGATCCCCGGCCGAGGCCAAAGGTGTTCAACAACAGGACCAAAGTAAACAACAAGTGGAAGTTCAACAGGTCAGAGGTGAGCGCAGATCTCCGCCTCATGCTGGAGGAAACGAACGAAGAGCGTTGTGCGACGTCCATTGTTGTAGTTGTTGTCGCTGCTGCTGTCGGTGTTGTAGTTGTTGTTGATGTTTTTGTTTTTGTCGAGTGTGATCACTGGAAACGTTCCGCGTACTGCGTGCGAGAATTACATGGCACTATCGGCTGGGCTGAGGATGCGAGTCTCGAAGCGTCATGACTCAAGACTGGGGGATAGAACAATAATTAACGATCAGTTCACGCCGGCTGGGAGCATACGTAAGAACAATTAATGATCACTTCACGGTGACGGGGAACGGGGGGGGGGGGGGGGG